CCGGGTACTCGGACTGAAAAAGCGATTAGCCAGAGGTGAAACGGGCATAAATCCACTAGACGCGGCGTGCCGTGAACACGACATTGCGTATTCTCGGAGCAACGATCTCACCGATAGACACGCGGCGGATAAGATACTCGCCGATAAAGCCCTAGGACGCGTCATTGCGAGAGATTCGAATTTGGGCGAAAAAGCTGCCGCTACAGCTGTTTGGGCAGCGATGAAAGCCAAGACCAAGATCGGCATGGGTATGAAAGCGAAAACAAGGAAAAAGCCAACAAAAAAAAACGAATACTTCCAACGGCGAAACGAGGCGGCATATTACCGATTCTGCCAATGTTGGGCGCGCTCGGTTCCATGATTGGCGGAGCGGCCAGCGTGGCGAAAGCGGTAAACGACAAGAAAGCCATACAACGTCAGCTCGAGGAACTACAACGTCACAATCGCGCAATGGAAACGCGCGGACAGGGATTGTATCTCGCTCCGTACAAAGGCGGACGAAGTGTAACAGCGAAAAAAGAAAAAAGAAAAAAAACGTCAAAGAGACAATAAAAATACCTACAGGTGTAACTACCAACGTACAATTGGACCAGCTGACGAAGCGTATGCGCGTACTATACTTCAGAAGCGTTTTCATGCGTGAAGCAGTGCACTATACGATGGTGAAGCGAAGAAGGAACGTAACGCGTAAGTTCGACATTTTCTTTTTTCTTTTTGCAACATTACGCAATATTATGTACTTAATTGCTGTTACACAGCATTTCGATGGAACCTCGCGCGGTGCGCTTGATGAGCAGACGTTACAACCTGACGGCTACGGGCTTCAAGTTTCTGGAAATTGGAATCAATGTTGGTCCACCGAGCTACGTAGAGATCGCCCTAGGAGATCATCGAGGACAAGAACTGATATTGTCTCTCGAAACATGGAAAGGACTCCATGAGCAGCAATGGAATACCTACAAATTGCTACGAAACAATTACAAAGACAATTTTATAAGCGTCGGACCGTTAACAGTCCGAGTTTGTATGATGAACAACGTTACACTCGTACGTCTTGAATCTTCAAACATACGCATTATGATGGTCGAATCGACGCTACGCCGTATGTTTAATCTCGCCGAATGTATTGATATAACGATTCAATCAACTAGACAGACTCGTTGAAACGATCGATGAAAAGTATACGAGATTCTCCAACATTGCATCTATTATAACAAATCCCGAGGAGGTACCATACGTGATACGCGATAGCGATATCTTCGATAGACATCAACTCGTCGATTGCGAATTGTTAGCTTTAATTTTTAGTATGTATGAAAAAAAGACGATGTAACAAAAATGTGAATAAAAACGTTTTCACGTTTAAAAATATGATTTCAATCAAAACAAATTTCCCTATTTCCCATATTTCCCTATTTCCCTATTTATTTCTTAAAATAAAATAAAATAATATTTCAGTTATAATAAGATATTATTTATTGGTATAATCAATAAAAAACGTCAATAAAAAAGGGTAATATCTTTTTTTCTTATTGAATTCATTTCATTTTTCTATAGTTCACTTTTTTTTGTAGTTTCCCATTTTCCGTCGCCATCAAAATTTATTGTTTCCTACGTGAGAACTTGATCAAATAGAAATGAGCACATTCAATATTTATTACTAAAAAAACAAGAAAAAAATTAAGGAAAAGTGTCCATTTACCGACTAATACATTATTTTCATTGAATAACGGATTTTTCGAGATTGTTCGAAATGAACATGTTGCGACACGTACATTTATTGCAGCCGGAATAAC